AATAAAATTAAAAAATTCTAATCCGCTAGCGGTTTGGTACAAAAAGTTACATAAACTAACTTTTTCAATTTGCTAGCGATTTGAACCCTAACCGCTATCCGCTAGTCTCAAACAACTAAATAAAAATTTTACCGAACACTTTAGTTGTAGTGGTTTCGAAATATATAAATTTACCAAACACTTATATTTAACGGTTTAGATAAAACCGTTAACCGTTACTCCAAAATCGCTATACCAAACGGAGCCTAAAACAAAACAGAATAAGCATGAAAAACAGACAACAATTGTAGTTACTGCTAAGCCCTCGTGTAGTCGTGCGTTGTTGATCGTCGGCTTGTCCGCTCAGGCAATGGCGAAGACGCCGATTGGGCTGGAGCCGGTGGTGGGTTCGCTGACTCCGTCCAAGAAGAGAGAATACAGATTCGCCAACCGTCTCCAAGAAGGGAAGCGCCCCTTGTACGCCGTCGTTTTCAACTTCATTGACTCTCGCTACTTCAGCGTTTTCGCCACCGTCGGCGGCAACCGGGTACCCCCTCTCCAAACTTTTCCTTTTTTCTTCGGAACAAAACCTTGGCTTCCTACAATTTTTCATCTTGACTTTATTTTCTCGGAATTTGATGGGTTCTAAGTTTTGTTTGTTTATTTATTTATTTTTTATTTTTAAAGTAGAGATTAGTGCATTGCAAAATTAGTCAACAATGAATCATCTTTGAGCAACATGAGGTGTAGATTGCAAACATTGAATGTAAAAATTGTATCTTTAATTTTGTTTTCTATGCAAATATTTTTCCATATGCCTTAGCTTAAAGATGTAGCTGAAGCCTGTTCAGAGCTCAAGCTCAATCCAGCTTAGTTGGATTAATTACTTTTTGTCTTCACCTTTTATATCTTCATTTGTATTTTGTATGTCTATGGTTGTATGATCTAATCTACTGTAGCTATATATATTAACAATGTCAAATTTGAAGCATTTAGTATTTGTTTGACCTGGTTGAAGTTTTTAATAAAAATTTTGTTGAAAAGAATCTATTGTACAAGTATTATTTTTATAAATAGAAAGAAATGTGAGGATAAAATAAGAATAATGTGTTAATTAGTGCATCTCATTATATATGTTAGAATTTAGTACAATTCATGCTTAACTTATTAAATTTAGCATATATGCTTAAAAATAATCAGCGCATAAATCTTGAAATAAAATTTAAAAACTTATTTTCATATTAATAGTTAATGTGTTTAAATTGATATTTTAAAAGTTTGAGATTTTAAATTTAAATAATTTTCTTATAATCAAATTAAATATGATAACTTATGTTTTATATTAATTAAGGTGGTTCGATAATTATACATTTGTTTATTAAATGATTGATGTTTAGGTTAAAAGTTGCTACAAGATCTCTAGTTTGTTTGTGATTCCCCTAAAAAATTGACTTGAAAAAGTATAAAGGAGAAAGAAAGAGGAGCTTTAGGCAGAATTTTCCTTGTAATTTGATTTGTACTTTCTTGGAACAAAGGTGGAAAGTGCAGTGCAAAATCTAGGAACTTAGCATCACCCAAATTTGGATACAAGGTTCAAAATTGGTGGGGTCTTCTAGGTCAATGTCAATGATATTCCCCAAGTCTTTTTTTAACTTTTATAATACGATTCTTAATAATTAATAAATCTATAATGTAATTAAGAAATGACATGCCGAACGACCGTTTTTATTGGGTGGCATGAATTTTAGATTAAAATTATTTATTTTTTATAAATAATATATTTAAATTTTA